TCTTTCCTAGAAGGCATTTCTTGTGTGTGTGAAGAAAGACAAAAGAGCACTTGAGAGAAAAGTTTAAACTTAAGCTCTGCACACCCAGACAGTCGCTGTGACACGTGGGCATTAATGTCAGAGGTCAGCATTTGAAAGTTAATGATAATGAAAAAGCACTCTCAACCCAGTTTTTATAATTAGGTGCTGGATCCTCCAAAACATATACTGAGTAATGAAAGGTTAGACAGGACAGCACACCAATAAATTCACTAAGTTAGAATAAAAAGTACATTTATTGGAATGCTGCCTTGTTTAACTTTTCATTACTCTGTATTAGAAAGTTTAAACAACTGTCAAATGAAGCTTCCCTCCATTCCGATGTTGGAAAGGTGTCAGGGGAGGGAGCTTCAGGCGCTGTTCATCCATCCACCATGCACTACGGCTGGCGCATTCTGACACATTATGTATGTAGAATTCAGTCTGCCAACCTCAACACCTTCCCTTTGTTTTGTTACTGCAGCAGAATTTAGTTGTGAAAGGAGCCAGAGAACGGTGATTTCCCGTACAAGTCATCAGTGAGTTAGCTGGACTGCTGGATGATGCCAGACCACTACTGGAGGATATTATATACTGTGTTTGTGGGCATACTGCTGCTGTCACCATGGCAGCAGCTGTAAAAGGGAGACAGAGGGATGGAGAGAGGAGACCTTGTGAAAGTGCAATTCAAGGACAGCCACTGCAACACCAACGGTACACAATGACACAGACACAATCACAAGTCTAGGACACAGCAACACTCATATCCACAAATTTACACTACCCACACACTCATTCACATATATTCTGCTCTACTCAATATGCCTCTTTTCTCTTTCTTTGCTTTATTATCCAGTGCCGTTTGCATTTGGGCAGTTCGTGAGAACATCATCAGATGAATCCAGAAAACAAGATTGTATCGCTGTAAGAAAACAGATGGTTCCTCAATCTTGTAAAACCAGGCATAACAGAATCAAGTGAGAGAACTGCAGTCTGGAATGGTGCTCACAGTTCGGTGTTTGTTTTTAACTAGTATAATATGGCACTTGGGTGAGCACCAGAACAACCACACTGAGGCCCGCTCTAGGAAAAGGACCTGGTCCAGACACAGGTGGGTTCCTGAGCAGTTCATTTGTGGTGGGAACATGATCGGACCTTGATCTGACCCAACTACAACCTTCTCTGCAAGTTTAAGCTAAATGGCTGAAGTATCCAGGAGCACTTAACATACTGCAGCGTTTCTCATACACTGACTTATTTGTGGAGGGCTGCCACAATATGAACATTTGCTGCCACATGATAGATAAATAGATGGATAGATATTTATTATTATTGATCCCAATAATAATAAATATTGAGTAACATATCAAGTGTGTGTGTATATATACAGTCTTTGGACTGTGGGAGGAAGCCAGAGTACCCGGAGAGAACCCACGCAGGCACAGGGACATACAAACATACAAACTCTGCAAAATCTATCACTATTGCAGTGTTCCAACCAATCAGTGGAGAGTTCAGGGTGTTGCTGACACTGACCAATAACATGTCAAAACATATTAATGACCCCTTTTTGACAGATAGTTGGATCTTCCACTTGGCTCATGTAAATGACTTTCAGTTCATCACAGTTCTGTAGACACACAGCCTACTGTACACCACATGGCTTCTGCAGGCACATATAGGCATTTATACAATGCAAACATGAGACTTGCATGTTACTGTAAAAAGGTTTTCAAATTGTCTGAATTCTAACATGTAGGTACTGAGAAAATGTGTGTGTGTGTGTGTGTGTTCCTGTTGGACACAGAGGTGGCAGAATGTGCTGTAATGCAGACTGCGTCTTTGTGCTGCCAATATCAAATAGTTAAATTCTCTTGACTGCTGAAATGCTAATCATCATCATAGCTAAATTTAAAATGTTAACCCACATAACTTATGTAACAGCCTTTTAATAAAAAAAATAAATCACAAACCAGTGGAGTTTTCTCCAGTAGCTCATAGTCAATTAACCTGAAGATCACACTGCGTTATTAGTCTGCTTTGAAAAGCCTCTTGTTTTCCAGATAATGTTAAAAGTCGAGAAACCTCAGAAAAGGGAAAGAAGCCTTTGATGAACTGTAGAAAGAAGGGGAATCCTATTATCACTATCTCTTTGTAGAGTTGGTTGTCAGAGACTATATTCAGTGAGAAAGTGAACAAATATTTTCTTTTCACTTTCTTTTTCACATTAGTGCAGAGTTGAAAGGTGCAAATTCAACCCGCTGGGCAAACAGCAAAGCTGCTTTGGGACTTCTGAAAGTAAAACTGCTTCTTTAGCAGAGTCAAGCACGCAGCAGAATTAAACAGCATATGTAGCTGCATAATGATTGGATAGATGTTTTAAGTTGCCCTAACAATAACCCCTAATCCTCTGACAGCAGCAGAACATAAACTATGCTCAAAGCAAAAATGTAAAGATTCCAGCTTCAAAAGTAATCCTCTTACAAAAACAGAATCTAAGGCAAAAAGCTGTCATATCAACTTTACAGGTCAGGTTTAGTTTAATTCAATAATCAATAATTATTTCTTTCATTTAGAAAATGACAGATTCACTCCCCTTCTCTCCTCCATCCTGAATCACACTCTCTGTCTCTCTCATTATCACCTCCACAGAGAGTTCTTGTAAACCAGAAGACATGAGAGACAGGCAGACAGAACCCCAACCACCATTCATAAACTGCTCTCTCTCTGTTTCCGAGCATGGCCATGCGATTCTGTCTCACCCCTTCTAACACAAACATGTGACACCCCCATCACTAAATGTTTAAAGTGCTGATTGTTTCCACAGTCCACACTGACGATTAACACCATCACATAAAACATCACAACTGCAGGATGTGGTTGTTACTATGGAGACATGCTGTTGCTCTGGAGACACCTAGGGGGCGGGGCATTTGATGAGGACCAGTAAGGGCACTCAATACTGTACATGGGTGTACAGGTTTCATCTGTATAATTCTTTAAGTCTGTTGTAAAAATGATCAGGGAAAACATTCACACTGAAACAATCTGTGGATCACTTCAAAATGAATCAATACTTTATGATGATCATGATTATTTAAGTTAATATTCACATACAAAACAATAACAATACCAAGCGGCTAAAATAGCTTCTTTCTGTGTTTAATGTAATTGTGACCTGAGTATTTCTGAGATTTGGAGGGTGGATTTGATAAAACAAGAACCTGAAGATGTCTGGGAAGTTGTGAAGGCCTTTTCGCTCTTTTCAGATATAGCCAGTTCAATAATAACAATTCAGTTTATAAAGAAAAGGAGCAAGTCCTGACAGAGCTATCACTGTAATAGCTAAAATATAATGTATACAATTGTGATACTATGTTGAGCTTTAGATAAAGGTTTTCACTCATTTACATCATAGCTACATTTTTCACCAACTCTAAAATGCATATACTAAATAAACAGTGGCCTCAGTAGTATTATGTTGTGTCACGAAACATTTCACAGAATCTTTCTCAATACTACAAACTATTCATATTATATGTTAATACATCACAGTATACACAAACTACAGACTTTATACAAAAAAATGAGAGCTATTGCTGTTACTAGACATGTACAGTAACTGTCAAAATAAAAAAATTAAGGAAACTGATTCACTGCATTAATATAACATATAACTTCATGTATATATACTCTAACCATAAAGCACAACGTCAGAATTGTACATCTGGTGCTGAGATGACTATGAAGTCTTTCACGGCTCACTGAATAGCGACGTGATATGCCTTCACAACAGCTGCAGAGCAATCTGTTTTCATACTTTCATGTGTTTTAGTTCTGAATGATCCAGTTCAAGTTTTAAGTAAATGTTAACTTTAGTATCAGCTGCATTTATGGCTTTAGTGGAACAGAATTAGAGCCATAGTTTGGCACACTGATGGGAAACTGTCATTCTTTTCTCTCTTTAAAGGACTAAAATCCATCAGCAAGTCCTTCGTTTGGCCTTTTAAAAACACATTTATCTGAAAAAACAAATGCTCCCTATATTAATAATTTGTCTTGATTGAAAGGTCAGTGACTGGAAGCAGTTTTCATGTTTTTTCAACATGAAACATGAACTGGTGGTATGCCAGTAGGTCTTGCCCCTTTACTGGAAACACATACTATAAATAGTGTCTCCACATGAATCCACCAGGTTGCAGGACTGTGAAGACAACCAGATATGTATTGTTCTGTCTGTGCATTTCATGGAAAGTGGCTACCTTTAGTAACTTTACAGTCCTTATAAAAAGTGCAAACAAGGTGAGGAACTGATGAATCAGACACAGGAAACACAACGTGCAGTTAGCAAACTCTAATCATTATGACAGAAAACATCACATGAGACTATTTATGTAATATGTTCATTTAAAAGTATGATGAACTAACTTTTGCTAATAAAATGTCAGTGAGCATCATCATGGAGTACTGCTGATAACCAACTAAGACACTAATTCAGAGATTCCTGTGATCACAAACTGATAAAACCTGGGAGTCAGGTGATCACTTAAAGTTCTGGAGACTGGGGACTGTTGCCATCTGTTGATGTGTCCTAAAAGTGGTTGCCTACTGTTGCTATTCCTTTTCATTAAGGCTCCTCCTTGGGGATGGTAGAGCAGTCCGTTATAATCAAATTATTTGTTATGAAATGAAAAACATAGGCCTACTGTATGGGATAAAGAAAAGAACAAAGTATTATAATATAAAGCAAGACATCTGCAGCAGAGTGCCTCCTTCAGTCCTTCATTTTCTCATGATGATATTAAGCATTGCTGGGCCCTTAACAGGTAAACACATTTTTAAAAGGTCATTCACAAACCTCAGTTTCACAACTAGTAAGGTTATTAAGAGGTGGCCTTTGTAGCCACTGTAGCCTATAGTAGGCCTACAAAAAAACTTCTGTTTTATATTCTGTCTTATGGTCTACTGAAGCAGTCACTTACCCAAGACACTATGCGTAGAATGGTCTGAGGCTGCTTGATGAAGGTGACGGGGTCGAAGGCTCCTCCGGCTTTCCCGGCTCCGTATGCCTGCATCCCCTCCATGGTGCTCCTCCTCTCTGCACTGCCTCCTCTCTGGTCCTCCTCTCCTCCCCTCTGCTGGTTCAAAGGTACAGGGTGTGTGGAGCACCGGGCAACCGACAAGAAAAACCGAATCTGTTCTCGATGCTACCCCCACTGCTGCTATTGCTGCTGCAAGGATGGATGCACGTCTGTCCTTGGCTCCTTGGCTCCTTGGCGCACAGCCTCCTCCGTTCTTTCTGGTTGTTTTCAACTTAACCTCTAAATTCCCTGTTGTCCTCTTTCGATATCCGGGCAGAAGAAGCTGTGTGCCAGTGTTTCGAGGATGCTCTCTCTCTCTCTCAGTGCAAGAGCCGGTGAACACAGGAACGCGCCTCCGTTGTCACGCCTCGAACTGAGCGCTCCTCATCTGATACTCCCTACTGAAAAACGCATAGCGACCACGCGCACGTACTTATAAAGGGCGCGCGCTTGCACTCACAAGATTGCCACATGGAGTCACGCGCTTTCCATGTGTCCGAAAGGCTGTTTATTCCAAGCACAGAGCAAACAAGTTGATTCGACCAAAACATAATATTTAATAAATTGTATATAACTAAGATGCCTAACTGTGCTCAGGAACGATTTTTCTAAGGTAACATAATATTAAAGTAAAGTAAAATTTCTGTCTGAAAATCGTTGCTACACTGAGATCATAAATTTGACAACGAAACAAAGACGCCAATCGAAAATCGATTTATGATGATGAGGCGAGAAATTCTGCCTCCTAGTGGTCTTAGTAGGTGTTGCTTGGAAATATCAGGTCATTTTTACCATTAGTACTGTAGCGTTTCACGTTGTTCCTACTCACAAACGATGCAAAGTACTCTGTCAGACAAGTTCCACCAGTCAAATGGTTATACTTAGTTGGCTTATTGTATGGCTGGAGTTTGGTTACACCAGCCTCACAGCCTTACAAGTACCGGTAGCTGTAAACAGTTTAAGGAAGACTTGCCTACAAGCACACAGATGGGAAAAAAGCCCACATTGATGGTTCTTGCTACGTCATCAATCCCAGCCAATGACTGCACCGTTAATCGCTGAACGTGCTTGCTGGCTGGACCAATAAAACACCTCTGTGACTGGTTGCTAAGATACACGTTTGTCCATGTTGCCGAGGCACAGGAAGAATAATATTTAGATGCTCTTACGGCTAAAATAGCAAATTCTCCAACATTAATGAAACGAAGGAGTTTATTTTCGGTGTCTGGCAGTTGACTACTATAATGGTGAAGCTGAGGGCGAGATGTCTGCTACTCGGTAAGGTTATGTAAGTTTTGACCACCGTTCTGCCACGTAAGGCTAACAGTATAAGGGCTAAAGCTAAACCCCATAACGTTAACGTTAGTCACTTCACTTCAGAACACTGACGTCAGAGATAAATAATCAGTGGAATACCTCACGTACAAAAGTTGTGTTTATTTACATATCTCGGGGTTCACCATATTCAGTGTGCAAAGCAATTTGCTGGCTTTCCTTTCCTCAGTACGGTAACGTTCATCTTCAAACACCAAACAAGTGCAGGTAATGCCAACTTTCGAACTCTGCCTGCCAATGAAAGGAACGTGAATGATGAATTTAATTGCCAAAGCACTCAACAAACACTTATTTTGTACTAACTTAATATTATACACTTAGGAAAGATGAGAAATGATAGACCATAATCTAAACACAGAATATTAAATTACCTCTCTCTCTCTCTCTCTCTCTGTGTGTGTGTGTGTGTGTGTAGGAGATCCTGCAGTGGGGAAAAGTGCCCTATCTCATATATTCCACAGTGATGGTACTCTCTTTCAGAAGAACTACAGCATGGTGAGAGCAGTAAAAGCTTGCCGGTATGATTCCTTGTGTAAGACTGTCAAAGGACCCACATCAAGGCATGCAATTACAAATACAGCATCATATATATGGAACAGTTAGTGCATCACAGTAACACACCTCACAATAAAGATATACTGTATTATAGTATCACACAATCTTAACATAGGAATTTGGTTGTAAAACTGCTTGTTGAGGGATTTAGGGATTGAGTTGTGCTCTTTGTAAGAGACTAGCCACCGACTTATATTTTTATATTCAGGTAGGGTAACAGAGGTTTTGAATTGAGTTTGAAGGAGCAACTCTTGAAGTTTAATTGTGGCTCACTGCCAGTCAAGGATAGACAGCAGTATGTTGGGCATATCCTAATCCATGTGCTACAGAGTAATGCTTTATTGATCCAGTATTCAGCAGATCAGTCCTCCTTGAATCTACAGCAGCAAGTTAATTAGCAAATGTGCTGTTTTAGTCAGCACACGTTTACCTAGGCCTTTCTCAGAGTAACTTCACAGGAGACCCTAGAGTACTCATTCCTGTAGAAATCTTAGCAGACTGCATATATGTTTATAGATGCAGTATAGACAGTGCAGTTAAGCATTAATAAAGTACTTACAGAACAGGGTTGCATACAGTATATCATATATTTGAAAATTACTCAGTAAATCAATAATTGTAGAATTAGACAACGATAAAACATGCCATTTAATGCAAGATAATTTGCCTCAGGTCAAGACATTTACTTTACCCAAGATGTTGTAAATCATTATGAGCAGTTGTAAATCATCAAGACTATTAATTGAAAATCATGATCATATTTGTTACTACATGTAGTTTCTTTAGTGAAACTTTTCAAAGACCTGCAGAGATCTCTTAAATTTACTACAGGAATCAGTGAAGTGTAATGTACCAATTAATGCTGATGCAGGGAAGGCTAATCTGCATTATTTATGATAATCTGCATGAGGGAGGGAACCGAGTCATTAACCTGACTTTGTGATATATGAGGTCAAGGCCACACACCGATTCCCTCTGTTAGCGTTTCAAGGGCTACCAACTAAATGTATGCACTGCACATACAAGTGAATGTGTGTGCCGTGCATGCACTTACTTAATCAGGATTAATAACAGCTTGCATAGATTTTTTTTTTTTAAAATACATACACATACCGAGTAATATGCTTTGCGAGGTTAGGGTATAGAAAAGGCTGGTGAGTACAGTCATGAGCACGAGCCTCGTGTGCATGTGTGTTTGTTCAGCTCTTGCTGTGCCAGCAGTACTGGGGGTTCTCAGGTGACAGGAATGTCGATAATTAATACAGCAGGATTCTGGAAAGCCAACAGAGCAGGTACTTAACAAGCGAACACACACACCGTACAACAACAGTGCACTGCCTAAACCTATACCCACTTGTTTGGAATGCTGCACATGTCTGTTCATGTTTGACTAAAAGAGGATTAACAGCATAGAAAGGCACTGCAATAGTGCAACATTTTTAATTTACTCTAGTCTAGTATGTGCACTCAACACATCTGTACTATAACATAATATGAAATTACATGTATACAGAAAAATTAAATACAGTGTGTATAATTGTTTAAAAATGTATGAAATATAACAAATAGGAAAATGACAAGGAGATGCTATATTGAAACTAAGTAGAGAGACATGCAGGTTAGCCTGAGTACCTGTAGATCAGGGCCTAAATCAAATCAAATCCAATCAAATTTTATTTGTATAGCGCCAAATCACAACAAAAGTCATCTCAGGACACTTTACAAAGTAAGGTCTAGACCTTACTGTTATCAATATTATTACATAGGGAAAACCCAACAAATCCCCCTTGAGCAAGCACTTGGCGACAGTGGGGAGGAAAAACTCCCTTTAACGGAAGAAACCTCCGACAGACCCCGGCTCTTGGTGGGTGGCCTTCTGCCTCGACCGGTTGGGGTGAGTGGATAGAGGAGAGACAAAAGAAGAAAAGCAACAAGACACAACAATCAAACACTGATCAGGTCGATGTGGCCGGTGACTGCTCATCAGAGATGTAGAGCTCCAGGGCCAGGGCAACCTGCAGA